ATAGATTCTTAATTTCATCCATGGTATATATGTAACAGAGGTCATTATTTACTATTTCCGCTAGCATTCGAACCCAGGATCTCTGGCGTACTAGTTTGACGCTCAAACGATCGAGCACAAGAAAAGTTCGCCTTCGCCGAGCAGTAAATTGCGGCTAGTATTTGCCAGGGTTACATACTTCCCCTCCAGGAAATAATTTGTCCTCGAGTTTCCGGGGTTACAGAGATTCTTGTGAAAGTAGCGCTAATTATCATTTCCTAGTCCCTACATGGGCGCCAATGTAACAGAGGTCATTATTTTCTTCGATGCCTCTGATAGGATTCAAACCCGGGACCTTTGGCGTACTAGTCTGACGCTCAACAGATCGAGCTAAAGAGAAGTTCTCTCTAGCTGGGCGGTATATTGCGGCTAGTATTTACCAGGGTTACATATGAAAAGCATATCTTCCTGTTTTTAGTTTGTGTAACTGGGGATATTTCGTAAATCATAGCTGATATTAGCTTTCACTTTGGGTCGGTTAACATAACAATATTTATATTAATAGATTTCCATATCCACCTTATTCAAAGATACTATTTCAGTATAACATAATCTTAAGCATATTTCCAACGTACTTGTTTACCCTTTGGAACCTCAATTCAAGACCTATATTAGTGAGATAGATCCTTTTCTCAATACGAATGAAAGTTTCAATTATATTTATACATGATCAAAGACCCCGTTGGCGAAGTAGCGCTTCCTGAGTGACATAGTGAGCACCGGATCACAGCCCTGAGACTTGTTTGTTTGTCTGGGGTTACCTATACAATTTACTCTGAATGAGCTAGTTTTTGTATTTCTTTCAATATGGCCACTAGAGTGTCACTCCACAGGCTTCGGAGGCGAGTAAGACAGCAAATTTGATATCGTGTGCTGATGATCAAAGGGGGACAGAAATTGTAAAGTATGTCACTTAAAAGTCTTTGGAACATTTCACTTTTCCTCTATTGTGTTAGTTTAAAATTTATTATCGTATGTTAAAGTTGTACATAAATTATACAACAAGTGAAAGGATTTAGAAACCAGGAAAGTTCATGAGTGTAGTTCTGTAATATTCTTTTGGAACATCCATACTAGGAACGATTCTTAGTTGGTTAATTGAGTAGAATGGTCGGGAAAACGTCTGAATGTGGCCAGCTTATGGACATGTCTTGTGAAAAGCCCATCTACTAACACAGGAATGGCTCATTTCTCTCCAATTCAATGCTAAGCACCACACTTTGAGAACAGGAAACCGTTTGAATGGCTTTGGTATGTGATGACCTTAGTATAGAACCAATAAACTTCGTCGCCGTGACAAACCGTTACAGAAATGTCAAAGTCAGTGACAACGGAAAGATCACAAGAAATAAAGATTCCAGGTTTAGTCGCCCTTTATGGTGAAGCACTTATAAAGTAGACAAAATTCTATTTTTACTTGCATTGCGGTTCCAAGTCATGCAGTATTTGGACGATGCTTATATGTAAATGTGACAGACGTCGTTAGAAATATGCAGAAGGGATCACATTAACTTTTAACCATTTTGTGAGTTTATAGTTTGAGGAAAATTTCCCCGCTAACACATGATAAATCCATAATTTAAATATTGTTCACAGTAAGTAATTAACGTTCTCATGTGGTATACAGTATGTAAATCTAATCTGATTGACATACATGATGTACATGTGATATACGTTTATTTGTAAATTGATATAAATTCAGTTGATATTACAGCATGAATCCATTAAACTTACTGTCTCCATTGAATGATTTACAAGAGGCAACTGAATTTAGGATGTGCTCATTTTATCTTCTCACTTCTAATTAAATGAGTTTCCTAAATGTCAGTCTTGGCACTGCGTTACTTTTGGCATTTAGTGAAGCGTTCGCCTCTTTGAAGAAAGCTTTGGGTATTGTAGCCAATACATACGAGTCTTGTTGTGGCAGTATAACCATTTGTTTGCATTTTATTTTTCAATATAATGTGACTAGATGTGGTGTCCTGCTGGGTGTCTTTGACAGTACACTTCAGTCTTCAGTCTTCATCGGTCTCACACTATCACAAAATCGCTTACATGAACATATCGCTGCGTCAAAAAAAAAAAAAAAAAGAAAAAAAAAATACAAAAGCTCATAGCACCCACCCTTGCCGCTTATATATGTAGGTTTTCCATAACTCACCATCGACATTTCATGATGAAAACGAAAATATTTCAATTCCACTGATATGTATGGCTTGGTTTTATTTTGTTTAGAACCAAGCAATATAAAAACCAAACCATACATTTTTATTTTTATTCAACAGCTATCTGATACTTCCATATCAAATGTTTCCATCAAGATATATATTCATCCTTTCTATTTACATTAACTCTGTACCGCCAGGTGTTGCTCTGCCTATGTTAATAAAATGTGTTTTGTTATGAATATTCACCCTTCTTTACTAAGTGTTCTGGAATTAACTATTTCCTCGCTTCTTATCAAATGTAACAACATATTTAGTGACACTGCGGGTTATTTATAGCTCCAAGAATCGAGCGAATTACATTCCTTCTCGTGTGTGTAATCTACAGTTAATATCAGTATATGAATCATAAGTGGCATAAAAGGTAATATGGTTAATTGGGAAGAAAACTGATTAACCAATTAAATCATTATGACAATTCATCAGAGGATAGCCTCGTATTAAAGGGGGATACTGCGAGTAGGTGTTCTTGGTGCAATTTTGTTGATTATTCACAAAAAAGATTTTCCTTATTATACACTTTCAAATATTTATAAAGTAATAACACTGGTGAGAATAGAAAAATATTTTGAGAAAATTTTTGTAATTTACAGGATTGTCCAATACATGGCTTTTCAAATTCCATCGTTTAATTTTAGTGTCATCCATATAAGGAAAAGCACGAGAAGATTGAAGTCATCATATGAAAGACAAAGATGACAAAATAAGCCTGGAAAAAACATAATCTGAAGAAAAAAAACATTGGAGTACAAGTGAGTAAATATTACTACTTATCATCACACATACAGCAGGTAATACGCACGGCAAACACTTGTTAGTATGACTCGAAGGTCATGTGTTTATTTAGATAACATTTAAACAACTGTCCAAGGCGTTAGTTCTTTTACATCTAGAATATGCATCAGGTGTGTTGAATTAATATAAAGTAAAAGGAAACAAAACAATAGAGAGGGTTCAGCTAAGGACCACAGAGTTATATCCTGTGTTCAAGAGGCTATTATCATTATAGTATTGTATGGAACATTTGTGTTCCTATATAAGTCTCTTATGTTTTATTACAGAAGTTGTGTTTAGGTTTAATCGATAACATTATGTTACATTTCAGATCTTGTATTACATATACACTGCTACATATTTTTTCGAGACTGGTGAAGAGGACCGAAATATCGTGTACCAGTAGATTTACTAAATGACTATACAGTAACCGTCTGGAGATGTTGAATATTCCAACACTCAACTTCAGAAGGTTAAAAGAATGTAGAATAAATGTCTACAAGATCATTAATTGACACGATAGTGAGATACAAATGGTTTCACAAGGACACATTACCCAGAACAAGAGACGATTCATAGTAACTGAAAAAAATGCCGCCGAGACAAGTTATCGAAATCTAGACTTGCCTCCTAGATGCAAATATATACAGGCACAATAATAAAGGCCTTCAAAACTGGTTTGGACAACTATTGGGAAATCCTTGAACGTTTAGCTACTAACACTACCCTTATCGACAATGGATCATCACAATGTGATTACGTTTATGTTTATACTTAACTGGACGGACACAGATGTAGATATGTCGGCGTTCATCCAACGAATCCTATTATGTAAGATACCTCACGTGGGTGGAAGTCATTCATTTAAACGACTTGAAAGACATTTACATATATATCAAAGTTTGTCTACAGCCCATCTCGTGACTCTCTACCATATAATTTAAAGATTTGGAAATACTTGACGACTGTAACCTTGAAATATTTTTTTATTTCTCACTCCATCCTGCTTTTGGCTTATGTCATGATTTCGATCTTTTCTGTTATTGTGTTGATGTAGTTTAAATATTCCACGCATTTGACGAATGTGACCTCGAAAGTAAGTCAAGTTACGAGGGTCAATGGATTGATGTGTTTTGATAGTTCGTCTGCATGGTTAATCGCCCCATAAACTGTCAGTGTCTTTTTGAGGGGGTTACCTCGCTGAACATCATGCGGGAGGCCACTATTAATGCTATCAGAGTGATTGAGGTCAATTGCGCTGAGGTATCTTAGTAGCAACTTTATTTTGTTTTAATTACTTTAGATAGATAAAAAAAATAGACAAAAAGTCGGAAGGACGCACGTGTACATGTAAATCAATCTGTTTCTGAAGTTTACGTGGATAATATGACGTAAATGAAAAGTGACGATTTTGAAATAATGATAGATAGGTATGGAATCCAAGCAGATAAAACAGATTTATTGATATTTAGTTTATAACAGTTGGAAAAATCTCCGTCTCCCTTCAGAAGATATAAATTACTTAACTGGGCTTAAAATTAAAACGTACATTTAAGGAAGTTTTGTACCACCAGCGACCAAACAGGATCAGTAGCCTGGCTGTTTATAAAGCTTAGTGGATCACACCTATCAATTAAACTCGTCGTGTTTTTAAGGTCAATAAACCTACATTAAATGAAACAATGCTTATTGTCTAAGACGATTGCAATAAATATATTTTCAGTAAAATTAAGATAAGGAAATCAAGGAAATGACGCTGTACTAATAACAGTCAACAAGTTTCGAAAATTATTTTCACCGTAAGAATTTTTAAGAATATCTTTTTAAGAAAAAAGACAAAAAATATTCACCAATCTGTTTTATTGATTCAATGACTAATCTCTATGTGTACTTACCACTAGCCTGACTTAACAGCGTGTATCAGTATGTATAATTAATGCACATGCTTCACAGTAAGACTCATTAATAACACGTGCCGTCTACGGTACATGAATGTGTTGTTACATTGTCTCCTCGGCGGAGTTAACCATCCATTATCGACCTTTAGAAAGGTAAGAATATAATTAATATTTCATTCCGAAAAAATTATAAAGAAATTTTCAGATATTTATCACCAGACTACGAACGTGTAATTGTAGTTTCGAGGCTGCGATGGTGTGTTGTGTGATTGTAAAACAGTGGGAATACGGCGTAATATGGGTATGGAGGATGGAGAGGAGGAAAGAAAATATTAGATTTTGGTTAATCAAAGCAAGCCCACCCAGCATGTATGGAATTGTAATTTTCAATGTTGTCGTTATATGTACAGCATATATTTACCACCAGAACAGCATGCGTCCTGACCAATATATACGACATTGCACGCCAAAAATTAAGCATTACCGAGATGTGCATGTTCCGGTCAAGGTCATCAATGTTATATTAAGTGAACGTCGTTCGAGTTAAAAACACTTGTTTAACAGACTCAAAATAAAACGCCCGTCGATTATTGTTTTTTAACAAAATGACCAGTAAGAATTTAATGTACACAAACAGGTCAGCTTTCATCCAATCTCATGCTACAGGCTGCTTCTATAAGATGAAATTTAACATACACGAAAGATAAACCCCCGAATTTCATTTCACTGCCATAAAACAAAATAAGTTGGATACGCAAAAACTTAGTTCGCGAAAATTGAGCGAATTGCAGTATTCGAGGCGTTAAATCCTGTACAACTTATAACACTGGTTGGCGTATATTGTTGGGCTGTTGATGCTGAAATCGTGATGCCAAACTCCTGACGGAGTGGATAGCAATCAATATGGATTCCTAGTAAAGTGAGCTCCTGTCCTGGATGTGTACTAAGGCATGAGTTGTGCACACATGTAGTAGATAATACACATTTTACGCTGTATTCTTCAGACGAACCCCGAATAATTCACGCATTTCATTCCCCATAATCTATAAAGCGTGACTTTTCTGTGCAAATGTTCTTGACTCGATCTGCTATGCAGAACCGATTGGGCTCAAAATTGATTTTAACGATGGTTGCAACAGTCGACTGGAAAGTTATCCTAATTCAAAATCCCCCTCCGACTCGGCCCCTGTGATAGCGACTTCATATTCTGGCTAAATGATTACTGGTCACCACTGACAATTAGATTGCTCTTAAATGACTCTGCACACTTGCACTGACCTATTCTTCGCAATAACATTTGTAATTAAGATTTGAATTGCAAGAAGATCATAAACATCAATTAATGATTTTCTGCCTTTAAATAAACCAGTAACATTTAAATTTAAGCTTTAGTATCTACATGTACCGGTTACAATTGACCTCTGTGACCGTTACCTTTTTATAATCAAATCTGTCTATAATCATGTGCAAGTAAGTAAGGTGGGATAGAAAACTTTAAAAAAAAAAAAGCAGGCCAAATTATCATCTCGAGGCACAATATGACGATAACCAAGTACTGTGTTTCAGCAAGAGAAGGAATTACAATGTTTAATAGTAATTGTTTCCTATAACTACCAATAAAATATCTTCGTATAGTGAACGTCAGTCTTCAACAAATCACGAGAGAGAATAACGAAATGTAACATTTCAGAATGTTAGTGTTTCCCGTGATTTTATCGGAATTTTAGAAGTTTCGTTCTATCCACCAAGTCATAGTTACAGATAGCATTATCGATTTTTTCTACAACTTACAATAGTTTGTAATAAGTTAACAGTATATGGTCATGCTAGGAATAAGTTAATAAAGAAGTAAGTTATAGTATTGTCAGCTTAATCGCTTCTTAGTTATAATCTTTAATATATATACATAGTTAGTGCTGTCTGTACGGCAGACATAGACTTTCGGTAGTAGTTCAATATAGACCGGTAATATCTATATTGTTATTGGAGATGCTATTCACTTTCCTAAATATTTAAAACGAATTGCTTTTTTCATCCTTCGAGCAGTTTTTTTCATGATTTATTTATTTATTTCGTGCAGTGATCAATTTACTTATTTTATTAAAACAGCAAATTTCCAGACACAGATAAATGTTAATCTGATAAACCACTCAAGATAAATACATGACCTCAATATATATTACGACCAAGAGATGTAAAATTTCCACTGATTATTATATCAAAAGAGCCAACTGTCTATGTTAAAAACGTGATAATGAGATTGTGTGTGGAACAAGTGACAACCCAACAATGCTTTTTATACGTGTATTCCCATAACGTTAACAGACGTAGAAATTTAAATCCCGGTTTTATTAGGACATTGGCGGCCATTATTGTCAGAACGACCTTTTTATTACTATACAAATGTGAAATTAAGCTCCTTGTCAAGTGGAGGATCCAGATATCCTGGAAAGAGATCATGTGACCTAACTCTGTGTAAAATTGTTATTTGATTCTCGCATCCTTATAACTACTTAATGGTAGCGCCATCTAATGTTCTCAAAAAGTAAAAACACATTAAATAGCAGAGATGACAGGTTCTAACGTTATAGGTAAAAATAAAGGCAAAATTGTGACCAAAAGGACACTTTGATTTTAGATATGAAACTGTCTGGAATTTGACAACAAATTGGAATTATATCACTCATTGAAGTTCTCAGTGTATATAAGATGGTATGTGTTCACATTTTGTTTCTAATAAACACAAAACAAAACAATTTATTCTTAAGTAACATCGTTTGTGAGGGTGTATAATGTGGTGTTGGTGATGATGGGGTGTGTTTGGGTGTGTGGACGTGGATGGTGGTGTATGAGGGTGTGTGAGGGTTAGTGTGAGGATGTGTGTGATGATGTGGGGGTGTGGATGTGGGTGTGAGTATGGTAGTGGTGTGTAGTGTTTATGGTGGTGGTGGTGGTGGTGGTGGTGTGTGAGTGTGTGAGGGGTTGTGGTGTATGTGTGTTGTGTGGGTGTGTGTTGGTGTGGTGGTGTCTGGGAGTGTGTGTGTGTGAGGGTGGTGGTGTGTGTGATTGTGTGTGTGTGTGTGAGGGTGGTGGTGTGTGTGGTTGTGTGTGTGTTTGAGGGTGTGTGTGTAAACAGTACTTCGTAACTCTGTCTTCCAAGCCTGTGTGTTTTTGCATTGGTTACTTGTTGAGCATGCGTCACTGTTGAAGTACAGACGTCGAATTAAAATTGCATGAGATAATATTGATAGGAGAGGGTTTGAGATAAAGAGATTCCTGTAATTTACAAGAGCCGAGTTGGTATCGATCGGGACAACACGTACAGTGCAACAATCGGTACTTGGCGTCCCTGAACTACTTGGAAGGTACAGTTACTGGTGTTCTTTAAGACAAATCAAAAACGTCCTATCATTCATACCATAACACTGGTGGTGACAAATTTAAAGGACAGACAACGTAATAGACAAATAACAGGCAGGTTCAGAGGTCAGCAAATTACACAGCGTTAGGAAGATTGTACAAAACTCGAAGGTCCGGTTCAGAGGTACGAACAAAACTCGACAATGGCAGTAGGTGGTGATGATTTGAAATAACTTGTCGCTCCCTTGCTCTAAACTTGACAACAAATATTTTAAGAAACCGATATACTGGCAGCCAGAAACCCACATAAATGTAAGGTTCAGAGGTCATTTAGAGAAGTGAATGCAATTTGTGACCGGTTCAGAGGTCATGATAGTTCACGACACAGACGACAGGGTTGAGGACAGAGAAGTTCGTGAATCTTATGTTAAGACCGCTGACATATTCAGTTCCATCAAAATCTATACTTGATATCAAAACAAGCATTCCTTGTGGTAGTATATACCTGGGAGAATACAGGAGATTGCGACAAGTGGTATCCACATCAATGAAAACATGTAAAGAGTTTTTATTTATCTGTTGTTTTCTTTGTTTGTTACCTCACGTGTTATTCAATGGCGATGTAATATTGATCGTCTCAATTTGTTAATGAGTTTTAGTTAGACAGGTGTTGTTAACGGTCAGTGCTGCAGACGGAATAGTTACATAATTACCAAAGACTGTGGTCACTAATAATGAGGAAACACCTGTTGGTCAGTTCGATACCCGAGAGGTGGGCAGTGATATGTTTTACTTAGATGATGGAGTATCCAGATTATCGAAGTTTTATTTATTTATTTATTTATTTATTTATTTATGTATTTTATAATCATTTTATTGCACAATAACTACAATCCTTTTAAAAATGTAAAGTTACACCACGGTGGTTACACATTGTGATTTCTTTTCGTGAAGAATGTGAAATTTAAGATTTATTCATAATGATATATATCAATAAAAATATATTTTATTCTGGCTGCTGGTATCACGCCCTAGAATAATATCTCCGCTATTAAAACATCATAAACCCAATTATGACAGTTTCATTAACAATTAACTCAAAACAGAATTGTGCAGGCAAATGTAATCGATAATAAGGTTACATATGGTTTTTTGAGTCGGTTATGAATAGAGACGAGGGACAAAACTTTGTATTATTGATAAGGTGTATACAATAGACAAGATTAATCTCTATAAGCCAATACTTCATACTCTAACCTATTTACCTAACTAATCAATAACCAACGTGTAAATAATCCAATTACCATTATTGTCAAAGTAAACTGGTATATGTAACTGTAATATGTGGTAAGATGCGGAGTCGCTCTCCGTTCCAGTCGGACTTGTTTTCCCGGCTTTAAAATGTGCTAGTGTCTCGGGGGACTTTCCCCAGTATTGATCTCGTTTTCCAGCTCTGTGTTCGGAGTGAGTAACGAATTCCAGGTGTATACGTGTATGTAAAAGTCAGCATTGCAGCAAGAACGATCCGTCTTTTAGTAAAAGTACTCCGGGAAACGTGTTGTTCCCGATTTAATCCATACAGAGGGAAAGTTAAGGAGTCCAGATCTTTGTTCGGATATATGGACAGCGAGAAGTGTGTAGCTCCTACAGATATCCATGGATTAGTGTTACCCAGTGTCATCTGTAGTGTAGTGCAAATTCTTCTCTCGGTTGGATTATCTTTGCCAAGATCTGTCTATGTTCGAGAGAGTTCTTCCGATATATCCTTTTTGACGATTCAGTTTATTCAACCG